CCTCCTGGGCACTGGTTCCCCCACAGGACCACCAGCAAGGCCCAGGGCTACAGATGACTCCCTCTTCCTGCTTCCCACAGTCCCCATCCCCCCACCCCCTACGCGCCGCCCCCACCCTAAGTCCTGGCCTTTTTGTTTTCATTTCTTTTTGGCTGCTCTGGTCTTTGTTGCTGCACATGGGCTTTCTCTTTTTGAGGTGAGGGTGTGGGGCTACTCTCCAGTTGCAGTGCTCAGACTTCTCATTGTGGTGGCCTCTCTTGTTGTGGAGAAGTGGCTCATCTAAAATGACTGTTGTCCTTTGAAGAGGAGGGACTTAGGACCCAGACACAAAAAGGAAAGATGAGAAGACTTGCCTCTGCAAGTCAAGAAGAGAGGCCTCAGAAGAAAGCAACCCTGGGACCGGCAGCCTCTCAAACCATGAGATTGGACAGCAAGATCAGCCCTGAATATTCACTGGAAGGACTGATGCTGAAGCTGAAGCTCTAATACTTTGGCCACCTGACACAAAGAGCTGACTCATTGCAAAAGACTCTGATGCTGGAGTTGCAAGAAAGGGACCCTTTCCAGGGCCTGAAAGTGGGCTCTTGTCTATCACTCAGAAATGGATTGTCCAAGGAGACACTGTGCTGCCAAAGCAAGAGATTTTATTGGTAAGGGTTCCCGGGCAGAGAGCATTCGGGTAAGGGAACCCAGGAGAACTGCTCTGCCAGTGGCTGAGTCTTGGGTTTTATGGTGATGGGATTAGTTTCCCATTGTCTTTAGCCAATCATTTTGGCTCAGAGTCCTTCCTGCTGGTGCCCACCTTGTTCAGTCAAGATGGATGCTAGAGTGGATTCTGGGAGGTGGTCAGACATGTGGTGTCTCCTTTTGATCTTTCCTGAACTCTTCTGGTTGATGGTAGCTTATTAGTTCAGAGCTCCTTACCAGGAACTCCTGTCATAAAACAACTCATGCAGATGGTTACTGTGGTACCTGGCCAGGGTGGGTGGTTTCTGTCAGTGTACGTCCCCTAACACTGGGAAAGATAGAAGGCAGGAGGAGAAGCAGACGTCAGAGGATAAGATGGTTGGATGGCATCACTGACTTCACGGGCACGAGTTTGAGCAAGCTCCAGGAGACAGTGAAGGACGGGGAAGCCTCGTATGCTGCAGTCCATGGGGTTGCAGAGTTGGACACGATTTAGCAACTGAATAATAACAACAAAGAGTGAGATGATAAATTTCCATTGTTTAAGTTGCCTAGTCTTGCAGTACTTTGTTATGGCGGCCCTAGCAAACTAATGCAGGCCCCTCCATACCCCTCCAGCTCCGCTGTCTCTGCAAAACTCCCTTTCATCAGTTTCTAGAACTTGCCTTTCTCTCTCCCACCATGTACCGTGTACAATGGCTATACCAAGTCATTCCCAGCCTTCTCTCTCTTGCTCATTCCCACCACTGAAGTGCAATACTGACTTTCCCAGCATCCCTTGCAGTACGTGGTGGCCATATGATTGTTCATGCATGCTTAGTTGCTCAGTCATGTCTGACTCTGTGACTCCATAGACTGTAGCCCGCCAGCTCCTCTGTCCATGAGATTTCCCAGGTAAGAACACTGGAGTGGGTTATCATTTCCTCCTCCAGGGTGGATTTTCCTGAGCCAGGGATCAAACCCACATCTCCTGCATTTCCTGCATTGGCAGGCAGATTCTTTACCACTGAGTCACCTGGGAAGCCCAGTCAGATAACCAGCTCTGGCCAATGAGCTGTGAGGGGAAGGATGTGACCAGGCCTGTTGCAAAGAAGTCCTGGGTTTTCTGGAGAAGTGACAGCCTTCTGTTTGGTCCTCTCTGCCTCCTGCCTTTGAAAATCATCCTGATGTTTACAGCTAGACAGACAAGAGACCCAACTGGAGCATAAGAAGTAACATACAGGAGATGGTGGAACAGAGAGCAGAAAAGCCTAAAAGACAGACTGCAGCAGCTGGCCCAGTGCCAGCAGCCACCAACTGCATATTTCCTGTTGTGGGGAAAAATAAAATGGTTTAAGCCACTAGCAGTCAGACATTCCATTTCTAACCAATGTATGGCATGAGGCTTTGCACATGCTGTTCCTTGTTTCTGGAATGCTAGTCCCTCCTCTCCCCAACCTCAGCTTAAGTATCACTTTCTTGGGGAAATGTTCTGCAAGCTCCTGACCAAGTCCAGCCCCTCTGATCCACTCTTACCCTCCAGTTCCCAGTCCTTCGTAACACCCATTATGACAGCAACAGTAGAGTATGCAATTATTTGAATGTCAGTCTTACCTCCAAGATCTCTTGAGAGTGTGACTGTAGTTTTATTTGTCACTGTTATACCTCCAGTATCTATCACTCAGTATATGTAGAATGAATGAATGAATGAGACAAGGCACAATCCCAGGGCAGGCATTCATTCAAACTAGAGCGGTGTGACGCACATCATTGCCATTCATGAATATGTGTCTAATGAGTGAATGAATGAGTGAATGAATGGGAGAAACAAAGGCCAAAAGAAACAGCACCCGTTCTCAAGGAGTTTAGAACTGATTCCAAAGCAGGACGTTTTTACTGGGAATGTGCAGCCCTAGAGGCATCTGCAAATTGCTTCAGGAGTCAGAGGGGCAGCCTTGATGCCAGACTGGTTGAGAGCAGGGGTAACAGCCTCAGGCGCTGCCCAGGCCGAGGGAGTTTTGAGTGAGCTGAGTCAGATGGCAGACAACACAGGCACGGGGCTCAGGGAAGAGCTGGTGGAGGAGGAAGCTGCGAGGAGTTCCGAATTCACTTCTGGAGGCTGCAGCCAGCTTGCGGGGAGGTAGGGAAGACATGGAGGGGTTGGCCATGGTCCTGCAGGCAGTGGGGAGCCCCCCACCCTGGAGCCTGGCGCCGGTGGACAGATCACAATCTAGCAGTGGGAGACTCGGAGCTCTGAGTCCTGCAGCTGTTAACATTCACAGTGGGTACCTACCCTTTTAATTGGATGGTTCTGAGTCCCAGGCAAGTTTCCTCCATACAAGCTGTCCTGGAAAACAGATTAACCCTGTTAACTGTGTCCAGGAAACAGGGCCTGACCATTCATCAGGGACTCTGGACTTGCCCTGCAGTTTATCTTCCCCAGGCCAGACCAGAAGGCTGGGTCTCTTTAAAATCCACAGGGACCATGCTGACTCTGTTTTCCATTCCTTCACCTCAGGGGCCATCTCCTACCTTAAAAAAAAAAAAAAAATCAATCCCTACTATATATTAAGTTGATAACTGACAAAGACCTTCTATATTAACACAGGGAACTATACTCAGTATTTTGTAATAACCTATAAAGGAAAACAATCTGAAGAAAAAATAGATACATGTGTGTATAACTGAGTCACTTTGCTATACACCTGAAACTAACACAACACTGTAAATCAACTACTCTTCAATAATATTAATATATATCTCTCCTACTTAAAATCCCAGATATCTTTTGTATGTTTGTTTTAATATTTATTTTATTTGGCTACATGGGATCTTATTTGTGGCATGTGGGGTCTTTAGCTGTGGCATGTGAACTCTTAGTTGAGGCATTAGGGATTTAGTTCTCTGACCAGGGACGGAACTCAGGACCTTGCACTGGGAGCTTGGAGTTTTCTTAGCCAATGGACCACCTGATAAGTTCTCCTTTTCTACTGTTTATACCCAGGCCTTTTCATCCCCCATAATTGCTGTGCCTCGAGCCACTGTTCTTATAGCCCGTTCTCTGACCACAACCTGTATGTATCTCCCCTTCAGAATTCTCAATCCTGGGGTTTCAGGGACAATAATCCTGTGAGCCTGAGACCCCCCAACCCCCCACAAAAATTCCATTTGTCATAAAGTCTTCTTGCTTGGTGATCAGTTACTGTTGTTTAGTTGTGTCTGACTCTTTTGCAACCCCATGGACTAAAGCCCACCAGACTCGTCTGGCCATAGGATTTTCCAGGCAAGAATACTGGAGTGGGTTGCCATTTTCTTCTCTACTGCTAATCAGATCCTCCCCTAAATCAATGAAAGGCTTCAGTCTTTAAATAGAAAGCTGTCTGATTCCTTTTGATTATACTCTGGTAGACGGGATTCTGGTTCCAACACTGCATTTGAATTGCAAAAGTGTGTGGTGTGATCCTGGTGTCAGTCAACAGATGAATGGATAAAACAGAACATGTTTTATGTTCCCTGGCAGTCCAGCGGTCAGGACTCCACACTTCGACTGCTGGGGGCACTGGTTCCATTCCTGGTCCAGGAACTAATACGATGGAGTGAATATGATTCAGCTTTAAAATAGGATGAAATTCTGACACATCTCCAACATGAATGAACATTGACATCATGCTAAGTGAAATGAACCAGTCACAAAAGGACAAATACCGCATGATTCTGCTTACATGAGCTACCTAGATTAGTCAGATTCAAACAGATAGAGTGGAGAACAGAGGCCTCAGGGCCAGGGGGAAGGGAGGAGAGGGGAACTGGGAGAATGGGTACCAGTTTTCAGCTGAGGATGGTGAGAAAGTTTGGGGGATGAAGGATGGTCATGGCTCCACAGCAGTGTGAATATGCCCACCACTGGGAGCTCTATGCTCAGGAATGGTTAAGCTGCTGGTTTTATATTCTGTGCAATTTTAAGTACTTTTAAAACTTTATTTTTGTTTATTACTTTTGGGTGTGCTGGTTGAGGAAAGCAGGGGCTTCTCGTCGCAGTGGCTTGTTGCAGAGCTGGGGCTCTAGGGCACTCGGGCTTCAGTAGTTGCATGGGCTTAGCTACTCTGCAGCTTGTGGGATCTTTCCAGCCCAGGGATCGAACCCATGTCTCCTGCATTGGCAGGAGGATTCTTTACCACTGAGCCACCAGGGAAGGCCCTGTTTTGTGTCATTTAAGACATTTAGAAATTAAAAACTGTGAATGGGTTTAGGAGTACTTGGAGCAGACAACACACATAGTCGCATGCCTGTTTTGTGCAAAGCCCTCTGTGAGTCACAGAGACCGGTGTGCTCACACGGAAGTCAGACATCACTGCAGAGAGGATGCAGCCGGTGCACTGCAGGCAGCTACGAAACGCGGAGGTGCAGGAGCTATAAATAGCTGCTAAGAATGGCCGAGGCATGCCCTGACTTCCAGATCAGCTCAACTGTTCACTGCCTGGGAGATGCCAGCACTCACTGCCTGTTCACTGCCTGGGAGACACTTGTGTTTCCTCCTCCTCACGCCCCCACCTGTCCTGCCACAGTCCCCAGGCCCCCCTCCCTCTTGCATCTTCCCAATTGTCCCATCAGCTGAAAACCCTGGGGTCCTGCCCTGACTGGGCTTTCAGGCCACTTTTTTTGGTTGTGGCCGCAGGCGTTGCAGCAGACAGTCAAGTCTGGAGTCAGAGGGACCTGTTCACCTACTTTACAGGTAGTGAGACGGAGGGGCAGGAGGTGAGGAGCTGTCTCCCAAGTTCCACAGTCACCTGGAGGCAGAGCTGGGGGAAGAGGCTCTGTGCCTCCCTCCTTCCAAACCTCGCTGTCCTTTGGGTGGCAAGGCCTCCTCAGGGGACAGGCCAGGATCTGGAACAGTGGCTGAAATTAATCTCTTTCTCTTCCCCAGGTGAGGCTAGGACACTATCAGTCTGCCAGTGAGAAGTCCATCTATTCCCCCGACCTCTACCCCAAACTGCTGCACAATGACCATGTGGGCTGCGTGCTCAGTCGTGTCTGACTCTTTGCAGCCCACAGACTGTAGCCCACCAGGCTCCTCTGTCAATGGGATTTTCCAGGCAAGACTACTGGAGTGGGTTGTCAGTTCCTCCTCCAGGGGATCTTCCTGACTCATGGGTCGAATCAGGCGGATTCTTAACTGCCAGCGCCACCTGCCCATTTTGAATTGAAGAAATTGAGAATGAATAGATGCGGGCAGGGTTCTCTGCCCTTCTGCCCCCTCTCCTCCTAAAAGCAGGGCATACATTTCCTTTGTGAGGGTTCCAGGAAGAGGGTGCAACTCTCATTCCAGAGATGGAAAGGTCAGCGTGGACATGAGTCTGCACAAGCAGATCTTATAACAGAACCCCTATCTGTCATTAGTTTCCCGCATGCATTTCCTAGTCATTTCTCCACAGTTTATTGTCCCTTGAAGCCCAAGCCATGTTTCCTTTGTTACAATGGCATATGAACCCCTGAGTCTCACTATTTCTCTGATTTTCACTTACTTTTTGTGAACTTCCATGCACGTAAACATCAACAAAAATTGAGTGCCTTTTATCCTATCAATCTGCCTTTTGCAAGTCTAATTCACAGGCCATAAGAGTGTAGAGAAAGTTTTTCCTCCAACAAAACACACACCCAGACACCCGTATCAAGGAGTAGAATATTATCATGTTCGAGAAAGTCCAGTCCCGTGTGCCTCTCGTTTTTTGCTTTTCTTTCAGGTACACTGGCTTAGCTGCTCTGAGTCATGTGGGATCTTCCTGGACCAGGGATCGAACCCATGTCTCCTGCATTGGCGGGCGGATTCTTTACCACTGAGCCACCAGGGAAGCCTGTTTTTTAAAAAATTGATTTATATTGGAGTGTATTAATAGTTAGTTTACAATGTTGTGTTAATTTCAGATGTACAGCAAAGTGAATCAGTTATACATAGACATATATCCCTCCTTTTAAAGATTCTTTTCCCATATAGGTCATTACAGAGTATTGAGTAGACTTCCTATTTTTTTGAAGCTATCTTTAAAAAAGTATTTGTTTAGTTGACTGTGATGGATCTTTTTTTCTTTTTTTAATAATTTTTATTTATTTATTTATTTGACTGTGCTGGGTGTTAGTTCCTGTGTGGACTTTTGTCTAGTTGCAGAAAGCAGGGGTTACTCTCTAATTGCAGTGCATGGGCTTCTCACTGCCATGGCTTCTTTTGTTTTGGCTTGCAGGCTCTAGAGCATTTGGGCTTCTGTAGTTGTGGTGCACAGGCTTAGCTGCCACGTGGCGTGTGGGATCTTCCTGGACTGGGGATCGAACCCATGTATCCTGTATTGGCAAGTGGATTCTTTACCACTGAGCCACCAAGAAGCCCGGCTGTGCTGGATCTTTTTTTTTTTTTTTTAAATTTTATTTATTTATTTGGCTGCTCTGGGTCTTAGTTGTAGCATGTGGGATCTAGCTCCCTGACTAGGGATCGAACCTGGGCCCCCTGCACTGGGAGCTCAGAGTCTTAGCCACTGGGCCACCAGGGACGACCCTGTGCTGGATCTTAGTCATGGCATGCAGGATCTAGTTCTCTTTCTAGGGATTGAGCTGGAGGTCCCTTACAATGGGAGTGTTGAGTCGTAGCCACTGGACCACCAGAAAAGCTCCTAGCAACTTATTTTATATTTAGTAGCATGTATATGTCAATTCCAAGCTCCAGTTTATCCCCTCTCCATCCTGTGTGCCTCTTCTGTAACACATCCTGATCCTAAGCAAATCATTCTCCTGAGTCTTGTGTTAATTTGTCCTTTGGTTTTCTTTACATTTGTTTTTACCTACACATGGATTCCTAAATAGTACCTTACTAGGTTTGCCTGTTTTAAAATTCTATTTAAGTGGACTCTAACTCATATCCTCCGTTTCTTGCTGATTTATCTTGTGTTCGTGAGATTACTCTATATTGATACATGTGGCACAGTTTATAGGTTTTTCACTGTTGCATCTGAGGGCTTCCCTGGTAGCTCAGACAATAAAGTATCTGCCTGCAATGTGGGAGACCTGGGTTTGATCCCTGGGTCGGGAAGATCCCCTGGAGAAGGAAATGGCAACCCACTTCAGTACTCTTGCCTGGAAAATTCCGTGGATGGAGGAGTCTAGTAGGCTACAGTCCATGGGATTGCAAAGAGTCGGACACAACTGAGCAACTTCACTGATTCACTGATAGCCCAGTTGGTAAAGAATCTGCTTGCAATGCAGGAGACCCTGGTTCAATCCCTGGGTTGGGAAGATCCCCTGGAGAAGGGAAAGTATTCTCCAGTATTCTGGCCTGGAGAATTCCATGGACTATACGGTCCATGGGGTTGCAAAGGGTTGGACACGACTGAGCGACTTTCACTTTCACTGTTGCACGGTGTTCCATTGTTCAGCCCGCCCATTTTACAGTTGATGCACATTTCATTGCCTCCAGTTTCCAGCTATTACAAATGATGCTGCTCTGAATATTCCTGCACATGTCTTTTGATGCACACGTGCACGTGTTTTGTTGGGTGTATGCTTAGGAGTGGGCTTCCCAGGTGCCTCAGTGGTAAAGAATCTGCCTGCCAATACAGGAGTCGCAGGTTCAGTCCCTGGGTCTGCAAGATCCCCTAGAGAAGGAAATGGCAACCCATTCCGGTATTCTTGTCTAGAAATCCCATGGACAAGAGGAGCCTGGTGGGCTACAGTCCTTGGGGTCACAAAGAGTCAGACACAACTTAGAGACTAAACAATAATAGTGCTTAGGAGTGGAATTACTGGGTCATTGGTAATCCGTTACTTGGTAATGTCAGTTTTTCAGTGTCGATACTATTTAGTCCCATCATATCCTGCTGCTCCACATTCTTACATTTTAAACTGTATATCCCAGAGAAACTGAACACTCCCAAGTCCCTGCTCTTACTCCAGGCTATGGCCCAAGCTGCTGCCCTCAGCAGTTTAAAAAAGATATAATCTTTCTCAAGTGATCAAAGTGTTCTGGAGTTAAACAATGCTGATAGTTGTACAACTTTGTGACTGTGCTAAAAACCACCAAATTCTGTACTTGAAAAGGGCAAATGGTACAGTATGTGAAGTGAGTTACATTTCAATTAAAAAAAAAATTGTCTGACTTGAAGTTTTGGTCATCTGTGAGGTTGGCAATGGTAACATGTACTGGTTTGAATGTATATTTTTCTGATTAATATAGTATTTGAAATCACTTTCATCTGTTTATAGAACATTTGTACTTCCTCTCCTTTTGCCTATTTTTACCTTTTGCCTTCTTTTGCCTATTTATGCTTTTCTTTTGCCTATTTTTCTGCTAGATTGTTTGCCTTTTCTTATTGATTCCTAGGGGCTATTTATATATTTTAGGCCCTAATCCTTTGTTGATTATGTGCGCTCAATCGCTCTCAGTTGTGCCTGACTCTTTGTGACCCCATGGTTTTGTGGCCTGCCAGGCTCTTCTGTCCATGGGATTTCCCAGACAAGAATACTGAAGTGGGTTGCCATGCCCTCCTTCAGGGAATCTTCCCAACCCAGGGATCAAACTATTACAAAGTCTCTTACATCTCCTTCATTGGCAAGTGGGTTCTTTACCACTAGCACCACCTGGGAAGTCCCCTCAGCCACAAAAGAATGAAACAATGCCACTTGCAGCAACATACATGGATTTAAAGATTATTATAAATGAAGTAAGTCAGACAGAGAAAGACAAATGCCATATCATATATTAATGCATACATGTGGCATCTAGGAAAATGGTACAGATGAACATATTTGCAGGGCAGGAATAGAGACAGATATAGATGATGGACATGTGGACACAGAAAGGAAAGGGGAGGGTCGGACGAATTGGGAGATTAGGATTGACATGGATACACTGTTGTGCTGCGCTTAGTAGATTCTTTGCAACCCTGTGGACTGTGGACCACCAGATACCTCTGTCCATGGGGATTCTCCAGGCAAGAATACTGGAGTGGGTTCATATATTCACTACTCTGTGTAAAATAGCTAGTGGGAAGCTGCTGTGTAAGCCAGGCAGCTCAGCCCAGTGTTCTGTGACAACCAGAAGGGATGGGATGGGGTGTGGGAGGGAGGCTCAAGAGGGAGGTGATACAGATACACTTATGGCTGATTTCCATTTTACAGCAGAAATTAACACAGCGTTGTAAAGCAATTATACTCCAATAAAAAATATAAAACAGTGAGGGGCCTGTGGAAGTGTGGGGTGTGGTCTGGGACAGAATGTTCGAGCTGTTTCAGGTTTTATTTCAGGGCTGGAAGCAAGGCCAAGATTCAGCGAACTATTTGAAGTCTGGTTTCAACCAGTTGATGAGTCCCTGGGAGGAGGATCCATCTGGGAGATACTGCTGGGAGTTTGGTGTGCAGAACATGCAGTGAAGCAGGAAG